CCCCCGCCCCGTACCGGCCCTGCTCGCGCTCCGCGCCGCGCTGACACCGCCGCCGGGATCCGCCCAGCCGCCCGCGCACCCCCGCACTTCCGGGCCACGCCCGTCACTTCCCGTTACGCGAGGGCGGGGCCCGCGCCTCGCTTCCGGCCCGGCAGCGCCGCGCCCATTGGCCCGGGCCGTGCGCGCGCGCGATGGAGGGCGGGGCCGGGCGAGCGGGCGGGGCACAGGAAGGGGGCGGCGCCCGGGGAGGGGGCGGGGCTTGGGGCGCGGGCGCGGGAAAGGCGCGCGGGGCGCGGCACGCAGCAGGGCTCTAGACACGGTTCTAGTTTATTACGGCCGAGGTGAAAAAGCCCCCCCGGCCGGCAGGCAACCAGTAAAATGTATCCCAAAATAACTCGGTACAAAACGGGTCTGCTTCGGCATTAAAAAAAACCTTTACACGAGGTTAAAACCTATCCCAACCAAAAGGAAAACGATCCCGTCCTCGGGGCCGGCCGCAGCCTTCCCGCGGCACCACGGAGCCGGGCGGCCGCAGCCCCCCCGTGCGCCGCGCCGCGCCCGCCGCTTTAGCTGGTGTCCATCTGCAAGAGAGGAGAGAGGAGAGAGAGGAGCCGTCACCGCCCGGCATCAGCACCCCCCAGCACCGCCCCCCCCCCAGCATCACCCCCCACCGCACGACACCTCCCGACCGGGGCCAGCCTGGCGCCCCTGGAGCTCAGGCACGCTCCCCGCATTCCCCGGCCTCCTCCTCCACCCAAATCTGTCTCAGACGATCTCGAAGCATCCCGGGTTCCAGAGAACACTGCTCCAGAACACGGCTCCGTGCCAATGTTCTCTGGAACTCTGGAACTCAGCTCACTGCATCTGTGCCACTGCCCCAACCGTGTCCCCTTCCCTCAGCGCAGACAGCACGGTTCAGAGCACACCGGGTGCACGTTTAACCTCGATTCTCTATCAAGATTTTAACCCTGCTGTGGCACGATATCCGGGCTCTTTCCAAATGACACACGGTGCGTTGCTCTGTTCATCTCGTTCTGCATTAGGGACCTGCACGCTGTGACCAGCATCACTTTTATCTCTCTCAGCATCCAAGGCAGTTCCTTCACTTTTTTTCCTTTTGTTTCTCATTTTTCCAGCCCACTGTCTCTCCGGGCATTGTTACACAGCTATCGCTCATCCCAGCTGTTTTGGCTACAGACGAGCCTGGCCTACACAGCCCCTAACGAGTCTGGGGACGCTGGAAAGGGTCCGTTTCTTATGAGCAGCAGCAATTCTGGAGAGCTAAGGTAACTAGAGGAACAGGGCAATGCTCAGCTTTGGACGGAAACTATTTCAGCCCAGTAAGCTGAAAGATGATTTCTCCTTGCAGCCAGCCCAGGGAGATGCCACAGGGCACCTGTGCACAGCGCGCAAGCAGCACTTACCCTGGCATTGTAAGCATCCAGCTGTGCATCTAGTTCTTCTGCAGAGAGCTGCTGTTTGGAAGTTCTCCCAGCTCCTCTGCCTCTTCCTCTGCTCCCGCCACGACTACCTCGCCTGTTGCCTCCTCCACCACCAAATCCTGAACCACCACGGTTTCTGGTCATGCCACCTCTGTTTACACTGCGATTTTGAAAAAGCACCCGTTACAGCGCGTTCTGGGTACCCACACAGGCACCCAGAGTTTTCAGCACGGGAGACCAATCCATGCTTCCCGCAGAGGGAGGCAGCTCGCTCCCCGCGCTGACTCACACAGCGACTCCCGCGCGTGGCAGCACCGCGCCTCACCTCTGTGCCGGTCTCCTCTGTGTGTCGATCTGTGATGTAACCAGCTGTATGTTCATGGGGCGCCCTGGGGAAAAGCAGCCGGTTAGCTTGGGAGCACGATGGAAAGGCAGATCCCTCCAGCCAGGCAGGGAAACGCCTCAAACAGCCGCGCGGACTCACCATCCAAGGGGACTCCATTGTACTGCTTCATAGCTTTCAGAGCATCTGCCTTCCTCTCAAAATGCACGTCTGCTGTCCCTAGGCTGCGGCCAGATCTGTCATAGTGCACTGCCGCCTTCTTCAAGGTCCCAAACTCTGCAAAGAGTTCCTGAGAAACAGAGAGAGAAGAGAGCACGCTTCCATTAGCGCTGCAAACGCTGAACAGCCACGACGCAGCAGAGGCAGACCCCCCCCACTTGCTGTCAGGATTTACACGGGCTTTCCGAGCTTCCCTGGCAACTCAGAGAAAGCAGCCATGGCAGACGGGAGCTTGGGCTATGAGAAGAGTTTCAGAAAGGAGCCATCAGTGGCAAAACCAAACAGGACTCCTTATTCACCACTCTCAGGGCGCACAAAGGGTGTCAACAGCGCAGCCTCAAGGGACGCTGGCCTGTTTCTTTTCCCAGGGACACCGCAAGCCTTTTTGTCAATGCTGAATCAACAGAGTCACTGTTTTAGGAATTACCCAGACCCTAACCCATTTCTATAAGGAAGAACAATCTGTAAGAATGCACAGAGCCACCTGGTTTGTTTCACAGGCCCTACGTTTAGTGCATCACCTAGGGATGTATCATCACACTGTGAGGCCCCGCTACGCCCCGTGCTTCCAAAGCTCCAAACCCACAGCAGAACCGCCGGGTGTCCCCAGTGGGCACCGCACGCCACCTTTTGCGTTGTGCTGCAGAGCCCAGACACTGCTCTGCTGTCTCAGAACCACTACCCAAGCATTTGAGAAGAGCACTATAAATATTCTTTCTTTTCGCCAGCCAGCAGTGCTTCAGACAACCTCGCCGGCGAGCTCCTCCCTCGCATTCGTTTACTGGACACGAGCACCAGCACAGCACCCGAAATAAGCTCTCGGAACGCAGTGCAGCACGGGAGGAGACGCTGCGACCCCTCTCACTGTGCCATGGGACCGCCGGCTCCTCCTGAGCCGCAGCACCGAGCAAGGCACATGCGAGGCTCCTTCCAGTGCCCTCCTGCCAGCGCTCGCTGAGCTGTGCTGCCACGTTGCTGACACCATCAGCACAGAAACAAAGAAATCAGGCAGCGCATCTCAGGCAGCACATCTCGGGCAGTGCGACGTCACGGATGGGTGGTAAGAGCGAGGTGCAAACACATCCATCAGCTCTGCTGCTGTGTAAGACACTCGTGGAAATTCGTCCACTCCTGCAGCCCAAGCCAACAGTGGAAGAGGCGAAACGCAACTGTCCCGCAGAGCACGCGGGCTCGTTACACTGATGGGACTTGACGGTCAAACTGCGTGGTACTTGATGCGACTTTACGCATCAAACCGAGGAGACTTCACAGATCTGCTTTCTTACTGACTACAGATCTGCCTGACTGCAACAAACGGGAAACTTACTTAAACCAATCCCAAACTTATGTGAGAAAAAGAAGCGTTTTAAGCACATCACCCGGTAATTAGGTGACCTAAAAAACCTTGCTTCCAATTCTCCCGATACGGACAGATCAGCATGTGGAAAAACTGGAATAAATTAACAGATGGAGAAAGCACGGAAGTGCTGTGCCCTCAGCCCCAGCCCATCCCAACCAGCTCAGAGCCGAACCGTACCGCACGCCCGAGCAAAGAGCCTGGCAGGTTCTTACCCAAGGCACTGCTCAACCGAGCGATATAACCGGGACCAGTAACGGGGCTAGGAAATTTAGCTACTGCAAAACAGATAAAGTAATTAAAGAAGTTGCAGCACAAGGAAGCAGGCTCTCCCTCACAAATCGGTCTCCTCAGTGTCACTGGTTGAGGCATCTACAGGAACACCTTGGCACTGAACAAGACGTGACTTTAAAAAAGAAGCCACGCAAAAAAACAGAGCAAACGGATGCCCGCATCCAGTTACTGAACTGCTGGAGTTACACGGACCTCGAGAGCTTACAGGGCCCGTTCCAACCTCTGCAGTCACAGCAGGACTGAGCCACCCAGCAGCATCTTCCCCCACGCACCGCGGCAGAGCCATTTACGAGGGGATTAACCACAGCTCTGCACAGCACCGCGGCCGTTCGGAGCCGCAGCCACCTCGAAGCCACGGCCGGAGCTGCCCCCAAACACCCGCGGCACAAAACCAGGCGGGGCCGCGGGGCCACCCGGAACGGAGCTCCCCCTGCCCGACCCCAGCAGGCACCGGGGCTGGGGCAGCTCCCGCCGCCGCCCCCTGCCCCCGGCCGCGGGGCGATGAATGAAACCCCCCCCCGACGGCCCCCGCGCGCGCGTCGCGGCCGCCCCCGGGCCCCTACCTGGATGTCCGCGTCCGAGACGCCGAAGTCGAGGTTGGAGACGAGCAGCTTCCCGCCGGTCTCCACGCCGGCCCCCGCGCCGAAGCCGCTGTCGAAGAGGTCGTGCTGCCACTTCTCGGGGAGCTGCTTCGGCTGCAACGACACCGGCACCTCGCTGAGCGCCGCCGGGCCCCGCCGCCTGCCGGCAGCGCACAAAGGGCCCGGCCCGGCCCAGCCCCCTCCGCCCCCGCCCCCGCCCCGCCGCCGCCGCCCGCGCGGCCCCGTCCCGGGGCTGCCCCCGCGCCGCCGCCCCCTGCCCAGGCCCGGCCCGTTCCCGTTCCGTTCCCGTTTCCCCGGGGCGCCGCCGGCCCGCGGGCAGCAGCAGCAGCGGCGGCGGCGCCCCCCTCCCGGCGCCCCCCGCCCGGCGCCCCCGGCCGTACCCGGCTGTAGGGCGCGGGCCGGTTCCTGCCGCCGCCCCGGGCCATCACCGGCCGGTTCCGCACGGGGCCGCCGCCCGCTCGCCCGGCTCCCACGCCGCCCCGGCCGGGCCCGCCCCCGCGGGTGGCGCCGCCCCGGCCCCGGCCGCCCCGGCCGCCGCCCCGCCCGGCGCCGCGCTGGCTGCGGTTGAGCTTGATGATGTCGTCCAGGGACATGTCCATCTTGTCGGCCATGATGGCGGCTCCGCTCCGGGGCCCGCACTTCCGGCCGCGCTGCGCCGCCGCCGGAAGCGGAAGGGGCGGGGCCGGCGGGGAAGGCGCGCCGCCGCGCGCGCGTGCGTGCCGGGCTCCGCGGGGCGGGAGGGCGGCACTTCCGGCGGGGCGGGAGGGGGGCGCGGGGCGGGACTTCCGGCGGCGCGATGCGGGTGCGGGTGCGGAGTTGGCACGGGGTCGCCTCGTGGCTGTGGGTGGCGAACGACGAAAACTGCGGCATCTGCCGCATGGCCTTCAACGGCTGCTGCCCCGACTGTGAGCGCGGGGCCGGGCGGGGCGGGACCGGGGGGGGGGCCCGGGGCCGGGCCGGGGCTGACGCCGTGTCCGCGCCGCAGGCAAAGTGCCCGGGGACGACTGCCCGCTGGTGTGGGGGCAGTGCTCGCATTGCTTCCACATGCACTGCATCCTCAAGTGGCTGCACTCGCAGCAGGTGCAGCAGCACTGCCCCATGTGCCGCCAGGAGTGGAAGTTCAAGGAGTGACCGGCGCCGCCCCCGGTAAGAGCCGGGGAGGAGGGGAAGGGGGGGGCGGGCGGGGGCGAGCGGCTCCTTGCCGCGGGCTGCGCCGCCCCGGGGGGGCCGGGCCGGGCCAAGGCGGGGAGGGGGCGGGCGCGGCGCCCCCCGTCGGGCTATAAAGCGGCGGCGGCGGCGCCCCGCAGCGCTGCGGTCCCACCGGCACCATGCGCGCCGCCCGCTGCCTGGGGCTGGTGCTGGCGCTGCTCTGCCTCTGCCGCCCCGCCGCGCCCTGGTACCGGCAGGCGGCCGGGCCCCGCCTCTACTCGGTGGGCAGAGCCTCGGGGCTGCTGTCCGGCCTCCGCCGCTCGCCCTACATCCGCCGCTCCGACGCTGCCGAGAGCCGTCCCGGAGCGCTGCCGCCCGGCTCGGCCCGGCCCCCCGTGCTGCCCCGCACCGCGGTGAGTACCGGGGCTGCCGGGGGCTCTGGGCACAGGGGGCACCGGGGCTGCTCCCCGTGGGGTGCCGGGCACGGGGTGTGCTGGGGCTGCCCAGCTGCGGGCACCAGGACCCCGTGCTCCAGCGAGCAGCAGGAGCAGGATCTCAGCTGCCCGCAGGGCTCCAGGGCACTGGGGCAGCCCAGCGCCCCCGGCAGCACCACGTCCTGGGGCCCCCGGTCCTGTTGATGGTCTCCCCTGCAGGCACCGTGCGTGATGGATGTCGCCCCCGAGCCGCGGAGCTGCCAGGCGCTGCTGGGAGTCCCCGGCACTCTCCAGTGCAAAGCAGACGTGACCTTGTCCCTGGACCCCAGGGAGTGCGTGGATGCCTGAGCCAGCACCTGTGGCTCTGCAGCAACAATAAATGCACTTGGACTGGAATGATCTCGTCTGTCCTTGTGGGGAAGGGAGGTGCTGCTGAAAGCCCCGGGAGGGGTGGAGGAAACCTACTGGGGTCTGGGGCACACAGGGGCTGCCCCACTGGGCGTAGATCCAGGGAAGCAGAGCTGGCGTGGGGTGAGAGGCTTACTGGTGCTGTGGGCAGGGGGACAGAGCCAAGCCTGGGGCCCACTTGCTGGGCTCAGGATGAGGGGACAGCCCAGGGAGAGGGAACCCATTGAAATGGAGCACCAGGTGCTGGAACAGCACCTGACTTAGTTGGGAAGAGGGGTCCTGAGGTCTGTGGGACAGGCATGGGAGGGGTTCCATGCCCAGAACAGCTCCAAGCAGCATTTCTGTATCATCTGCAAACAGCTGCTGCAGGGGAGGCAGCTCCCCATGTCACTGCTGAGTCCCCCACCTCGCACCCCAGGGTCTGGATCCCTGAACCCTTCAGGAGCCTTGTCTGGGGCTGAGGGGGCTGCCCAGGTCAGGCCAAGCAAGGCCTGGGAGGGACTTGGGCTGGGCCAGGACAACCTGCGCAGGGCACTGGTGATGCTGCGGACTCAGAGGATGAGGACAGCCCAGCTGGGTGTGTGTGGGAGCAGCTGGGGCTGAGCACTGAGCGACCTGCAGCCCTGCTGCCTCTGAGGGCCAGGGCTGGCATCTTCCAGGTGCCTGTGGCTGCTCAAACCCAGGTGGAAAAATCATTTGTGGATCACAACCAGCAGTCACCACCCCGCTGGAAACTCACAGATGGCCCCACGCTCCCGAGGGCTGTGTGATGCCCATCAGCCGTGGCTGTGAGGCACGGTGCCTGCAGCAGTGATGGGGTGATAGAGCCGGAGCTGCAGGGAGCAGCAGAACCTGACTCGTTTTGCTGGGTGAATTATTGCAGCCAGAGCATCACTGTCCTGCCATCCCCCCCAGAGGGCCCTGCTGTGCCCAGCCCCAGGGCACCCAGGCTGTGCTCTGGCAGCAGAACCCCGGTGCAGCACCACCAAACCCCCGGCAAACCACCAGCGAGTGCAGCCCCAGCCCAGCCTTGCAGGGACCCTGCCTGCCCCGGGCAACAGGAGGAGCGCAGCCCCCAGTCCCCGCGTGTCGCCTGGGCAGGACGCAAGGCTGAGTCCTCTGGGAGCTGCGGGCAGGAGCAGCCCCTCCCTGTAGAGGTGTCCCCTTTGTTTGAAGCTGCCACAGGCGGCCCCGAGCTCTGCCCAGATGAAGGCTGCCCGCACCACCGCGTCCCCCCGAGGCAGGGGCAGTCCTGGGCACTGCAGCTCCGACCCAGGGTGAGGGCCAGAGCTGCTGCCCTCCTGCACCAGGGTCACCATTGCTCTTGTAAGATTTAGCGAGCCTTATTCAAATGTTCCAGCACATTAATTCCCATGAGAGAACCGTCAGACACTTACTGCACGTTGCAGGGGAGGCCTCCTCAGGATTAGTGCAGGAGCCAGTCTTGTCTGTGCTTGGTAAAAGGAGGAGAGAGAAAGGAGGAGAGAGAACTGAGTCACAAACTTGAAATTCACGCAATTTATTTCCCTGGTTTAACTCCCCATTCATTTTTGCCCTCCGGGACTCACAAGATGTCAGCGAACACAAGGTTGGAAGGAAAAGGGCCCAAAGGCACTTGAAGTAAGAAATACACAAAAGTTTTCTGCTCAGAAACAGCAATGAGGACATGCAGAATGGCAGCTCCACCACGCACGGCTCGCTCATCTGCACAAGTGAAGCTGAAATTTCCAGGCAGAACAGTTACACCAGCAGGCAGGCACACAAGTGTTGAGAATGCAAATTAAATTGTTTAGTCATTTTTTAATAACAACAGCACTTGTTTTGGTCCCAGAGGCAGCTCATTTACACGCAAATGCTTGGCTCGGGGTAGGTTTGTCACCGTGTGGAGTTGTTTTTAATGACAAACTCCCCTCAGTTTCTGGGGGGGCTCACGCCACAGCGGGGCTCTTTGTGCTGTTGGCTCAGCCCGGCCCCACGGACCACGAGGGCCGCAGAGGATCCCGGCCAGCAGTAACCTGGCCTCCACTCTGACAGCAAGCAGCAGCGGTGGCCGCCTCCAGTCAGGAAGAGAAAAGCCCCAGCTGGAGAGCAGCAGGGAACAGCCCCGGGGGAGCAGCCTGCGCAGGAGCTGGACAGGCCCCAGCAGCCGGGACCGGCCTGGCCCCGCAGAGAGCAGCCACCCCCGTCCTTGTCCCCATGGCACCAGCCAGGCCCAGGGCCCAGCAACACCCCTTCCACCACAGCCACGACCCTGCTGACAGCCAGCAAGGGCAGCATTTTTCTAGAGACAAAACATCTTCTGCCCAAAAACAGCAGGTGGAAGTGGGGTCGTTCCTACACTTCCCCAGGGCTGCCCTCAACCTCCCTCCAGCTGCTGAGCTGCTCTGGAGAAAAGCTTTCTGCCACACACGGCACCACCATTAGAAGCCCTCTCTGCTCCTCCAGGACCAGCACCAGCACCAGCGTGGCCCACACAGGACAGAGCCGGAGCCGAAGGCCCTGCCTCAGCTCCCTGCATCCCCCAGAGCAGGAGCATCCGCAGCCCCCCAGCAGCTGCAGAGCTGAGGGGGGCGCAGCACAGGACAGGCAGCTGCACTCAGAGCATTGCCGGTGCCATGCTCGAACAGTCAGGCACCTGAGGAGCTCCAGCAAGGTTTTGGGAGAGGGCAGGAGGCTTCGAGTTCTCCAGTTCCCCCTCCTGCCCTGAGGCTCTCCTCCCACACAGGTGGGTGGGTTGGCTCCTGGTAGCACCTTGTCACAAATGACACATTCATTAGGAGATGCCAATATGCAAACGCAGGATCTGGGATTAGCACTTGCACAGCCGTGAGATGCTGAGGCCCTGTGGCAGATGTGCGCACACTGCAGCCCTTCTGCAGGCAGCAGGACAGAGCCATCAGGGCTGCTCGTAGACACTGCTTTAGCATTGCAACGCACCAAGTTACCAGCAGAATCCTAACTCCACACCCACGGTGTTTGAGTGACTGCCGAACTGCCCGGACACCTTTCCAGTGCAAGCTGTGCTGCAATCCAGAAAGCACAAAAACCTAGAACAGCATAGCAAAGATCCCCTCACCTGGCCTAGTTCAGTTTTTGGGTGAATTCAGCAAAAATCTGTTCACCTGGCAAAAAAGAAGGGCTTCTAGCTAGAGTGATCTCTAACCCTTGTACCAGAATAAATTTAAGATTTTCACAGAGCTCAGGCAGAGCTGCCCACAGCAAAGTTTGTTTTGATGCCTCCAGTGAACTCTTGTCCATTCCTGACATAGCTTCCAGGGAAAAGCCTCCACCCAAAGACCCGAAACCTTTCTACCACCTGGACTCGAGGCCTGAAGAGACCAACAGACAACTCTTCAACATTTTATTAATGATCAGCAACAGAAATTTACAACAGAGAGGACAAAAAATCGGCTTGGAAGGACTGTACAGCACAGTGCAGGGAGTGGCTGAGACACCCAGCACAGCACCCTGGAATGTACGAGGCAGAGAAGGGCTCAGCCCAGCACCTGGCTCTTCCCAGACTCATTCCCTCAGGCCCTGCAGGTTCCCACAGGAGGTAAACATGCTGCACTTCAACCCTAAGAAAACAGTCTTGAAATTCCAGCTCACAAGGTCACTTCTCTTGGTAACATCTGTCAGGCACAAGGTGGACTCTGGCAGCAACAGCAAGCAGAGCTCTGAGCACGGTTCACAAGGAGCGTCGAGTCCTGCGCATCTCGTAGCAGGTGGAGCCTTTGGCAAAACTTGCCAGTGTTCTCATGCCTTGTGCAGAGAAATTCCTCAAACTCACCAGGGAACACATTAGACCTGAGGGTCTCTGTGCCACGAGCCTCGCAACCCGCAGCAGATGCTGAGCTGCTGCCTGTCACTGGGGAAGTGAATGATTCACCGGCAACAGTCACAGCTGGAGGAAAGCTTTATCCAATTAGACCATAAGTAGCTTTCGATCTGGTATTTGTGTAGAGGCAGCAGCTCAGCTGAGAAGCACCACCACCAGCAATCTCAGAGCACAGGGCGCAGTCAGCACCGCCAGCAGCAGGCACACTGATTGGCCTAGCATCCCTACCCAAAAAGCTCACAGAGGAATTGTTGGCCACCCCTTTCTCCCAGGAAGGCTGTTCTCTCCAGTCTGTCAAGCAGCCCACACCACCACCTGAAGGGGTGTTCTGAAATGCAGACTCCAGTCAGGACAGCAGACTGTGGAAGGAGGCAGAAAGGGCCTGGGCAGCTGCTTCATTTCCCACCTTGTAAAAGCCAGAAATGGCAGAAAGTAAAAGCACATCAACATGTTAAAACATTAGTTATAATTAAAACAATTTTTTTCTTTTTAAAATCTTCTCCTGGGAAAGGGAATGGGGGCTGATTAACGGAGGAAAAACTAGGCAGCAGGATCCCAACTCGTTATGTCTGCATAATTAGTGCAGGAGGAGCTAGGACAGCTAGGCTAGCACATCCTGTGCACACCAGCAGCAGCATCCTTGTTCAGGGTCCTCTCTAGAAGAGCTCTTTGCTCCTCCAGAAGAGGGCGAGGCTGCAGCATTCTGCGACCCAAGCATCAGCTCTCTGCTGGTCTAGTGCTTCTCTTCCAGTTTCTTCATGGCCTCCAATACTGCCAGCTCTTTTGCTTCCTTCTTCTGGTTCCTAGCTTCAAACTCCAGCCTGCATCAATCATAAAACACTATCAGAGTCTTATCTGTTTGTCCTTCTAGGCAACCAAAACCCTCTGGAACGGGAGCACCACCTTCTCGTAACAAAAACGTTGTTTTGTTACAAGAGTACTTCAGAAGCTTCACCATTAACCTCCCACCCTCCTCGTTGAGAGAGCCAGCACCCAGAGCTTCTTCCAAGTGTTACAATCACTTCTCTCTGATGTCCTAGGCTCCCACACCAGTCAAACAACACTTCTCCCTCTGAAGATGCTGCTGCTGCTGCTGTTGCTGTTCCATGCTTGGTCTGTCCTAGGACAGACCACATAGTACTGCAATACC